TCAAGAAACGAACCGAACAGTTTTCTAAGGATGACTGGACTCCTGATTGGGATGGCTCCGATGACGATGGAGAAGACTTGGATGTGGAGAAACCAACCAAGAAACCAACCAAACAGCATGATGAACATCGTGAGGATGGCTCTGATGATAGTGACTCAGACTCCGATAATGGTCAAGAGAGGCCAAAGCAGGATACTCTGACCGAGCCCACAGTGAAACCTAGCAGGGTCAACCCGACCTTGGAAGAGGATAGAGACTCGGGATCAGATTTGGGCTCAGACAATGCTACGATCACTGTAGATACCAGCCCCGAGCTTCAGCCTCGGTACAACGACACCCGGGCTCTCTCCCATGAAGTACCATCGGACACTGAGGTCTTGGCTGATGATACATTTTGGGAAGCCGACCTGGGCTGTGGGGTGGAGTCGGCCGATCGAGCGAAGAAGAGAAAATTCACTGATGAGGAGGATACACCCTGCAAGTTTCCTCGGTTAGAGAAGGGTTACAAACTTGGCCCGAGGAGTGCCCAACCAGGCAAAGTCAAATGCCGAGCTGCCTCGGCTGTTATCCAAGCCACTGTCAAACCAGCTCAAGCAACCAATCCGAGGTCGGACACAACCAAAGCTTCGAATAGCTTTGATTTCACCAAGTCAAGTGGTGTCAATGCAAAACGACCAGTCCCTTCAAAACAAAAGAAGTCAGAGGCCAGTCCCAGTCAGCAACCATCTATTGATGTCCCCACCAAGCCAAAACCAAAGCCTCGTCCTATCATGAAAGGCAAGGTTTCTACAGGGGAACTTGGTATAGTAACCTGAGAATGGTCGAAAAAGATTGCTGAAGAAAGTGTTCGTTCCACCCGGTCCAAGAAAGTTTCATTCGTCAGTTAAACCTATCATGTTTAATGATGTTAGTCATTCATGCCCGGGTGCGAAATACATAGCATGTTCAATGATGTTAGTCTGTGTCTGGTTTCAGCAGTGTCACTTTTCGTAGTTGATCATGTTTTTCTATCATGAAAGGCAAGGGTTGAAAAGGTGTTCGTTTGACTAATTGAGCCGGGAGGCTTGTCTTACGACCAATTAAATGTGAGCACTATCCAGCAGCGGGTATCTTCAACCATGCCCAGGTGCAAACTACATAGCGAACCAACCTCGGTCTTGTGATCTAATCTTCTACTTAAACCCTGGTCCATCCCTTTTGTCCCTCCCCTTCCCCTTGTCTGGGATCTCGTCTGGGATGAATGGCCGTAGTCCTTCTAAAGTAGCGTCCATTGCTGCAACCAGATCACGGTCTGAATCGATTTGTTCACGCAACCGGTCTTTCTCCCTCCTCAAGGTGGCCAAAACCTACCAATAATGGCTCGTTGTCGCTATGCTGTCAGGCAGGGATCTGAGCGCCTCCTGGTGAATTTCGCTATGACGAACCAGGTCCATACGATCCATCTCGGTAAACTCATCTCCCCTCATCAACAATTTATCAAAGGCGGCCTGCAAATTCCTAATCAAAGGGTCGGATGAAGCCTCGGGGTCCATAGCTCTTTCCCACACTTTGCCAATTGCCTGAACGACCTCAGCTACCACGCCCGTGCGATCACCAATGCTGTCATCAGACACAACCTTGATATTGTACTTGCGACATAAACCCCTTGCATGTGGGGAGTTTGGATCCAAGTCACCCCTGGCTGTAGCCCTATGCCTTATAAACTGGAATAATGCACTTTATTCATTTCCATAGGGAGTGCATTTGACCACTTGGTATGGATGTGGGTTAATGCACGGCTTGCTGTAGGGTGGGTGGGAAGAGGTATTGTTGATATTATATGGGTACATATTTGTTATTTAATTCTGAGGAGACATTTACATTCCCACAGCTTTGTTTCTCCTAGAAAGAACACCTGAGACTTTACCATATATATAGTTGATGATGTTCTGACACTCCTAAATAGTTTCCCTCTGTCAAATCTGACCGAAATAGGCTGGATGCAACAAATCCATTTCGGATGACCTTGGGACTTTTGATGCCTTTGGTACACAATTGTCAACAATGCATAGTTTTAGTTCTGAGGAGATATAGATGTCCTACAGCTTTGTTCCTCCTAAAAACCACCTCTGAAACTTCACCAATTATATGCACGATATTGTTCAGACCACTCCAGATACTTTCCCTCTGTCAAATCAGACCAAAATAGCTGGATGCGGCAAACCCTTTTCGGATGACTTTGGGCCTTAGATGGCATTGGTACACAGATGCAAACAGAGTGAATTAAATAGTGTAGCTACTCTACCACACAATGGACAGGCAAAAAGATGGTAGTAAGAGCGTAATAAAGTATCTACCAATGTATAATGAGCAGAAAGGGGTACATTTTATGTCGTGGTCATTGTCATGGTGGTCCCCGTCGCGTTCATCGGGCTGGTCCTCTGTGGCGTCATTTCACATTGTGGTGGTCCGCCATTGTCGTGGTCCATTGTGGTAGGTGCTGTGTGGTCGTGGAGGCGTGGTCGTGTCACATTGGTTCATCTAGTCATGGTCACCATTGTCCATTGTGTGTGGTCGTTGGTGGTGCATTGTCGTCCGTGGCAGTGGCCCTCGCATTGTCGTGGTACATCGTGGTCTGTGGTCGTCGTCCATGGTCGTCTGTTTGCTTTGTGCTCATCCTTCGTGGTCATTGATGGTGCATTGTTGTCCGTGGCGGTGGCCCTCGCATCGTCGTAGTACATCGTGGTCTGTGGTCGTCCGTTTGCTTTGTGCTCGTCTGTCGTGGTCACATGGTCCCTCATCCCTTGTGGTCCGTTGTCGTCAATTGGGGGAAATAACATCTGACATCGTCATTTGTCAGAGCAAGGAGTGAGGAGGAGAGGGCTGTATACTCACCTGAAGATCAGCTACTGCAACGCAACCCTCGCATTCATCAACCCGCTTGCTGCCATGTGCTTCCACCTCGCTCTTGACACAGTCAAGTCCGATGGTCCTCGACCCGGTGACGACAAACAACGAATGGGTCATTGTTCGTCATTTGATTGCCACGTCGCTGTCGGCAACGTGGCAGCTGTTGTCTGGGTTGGTGGTGGTGATGGGTGCTCGTCACCCGTTGTCGTTAGAGTGGTGATGATGGCGGGCGCTCATCACCATCCATGGGTGGTGGGCACTCACGATCGTTGTGGTCGTAGTGGTGGGCAGTCGCCTGTGGTTTGATTGGTGATGACATGGCCGTTGTTATAGTGGTGGGCGGTCACCTGTAGCTTGAGTGGCGAGGATGGGCGCTCATCGCCATCCGTAACTGATGGGCACTCATGGCCATTGTGATGGTTGGGGTGGGCGGTCGCCGTCGTTGGTGGAGGGTGGTGATGGTGGATCGCCGTCATCGGCTCTTGGCGTCATGGGTGCCGTCGTTCTGCAAGTTGACGTCGATGTGGCACGCCAACGGTCTGGTGGTGGTGCTGTTGGCATGGACAATCCGATGAGAAACGACGGGGAGTTCATGTAGAATAAGCTTACCAACATAGAGTTCGCGAAACGCGAACATCCCCAGGTCCTTCATCCAGTGGTTGATCCCTGTGCAAACGTTGAGATACGTAACCAAGGGCGACCTTGGATTTGAGAGGATTGGTTGACGGAGTGGCCGTGGATGACGGTGAGTCGTTTGTAGCATGCTGGTTGAACGGAAGGGGTGGCATGCTCAACCACACATCAACAGCGCTCGGCATTTTCCGAGTGCTGGCGGCGAGCTGCGCAAGTTGCTCCTGCGTTCGTTATTGGGAAGGAGAAAATGAAGAAAAATGTATTTAGAGGTTCTGAGGAATATGATTAGCATTTGAGATAGGTAGCACTATGTGTTTAATGGGGAGGGTGTAAAAGTCACAAGAATTTCAATCTACACCTGAGATTCCGGCACTTGCAAAGCTGCTGAATTAAAATACAAAATACATACTATATGATACAAACCAATTGAAATTGAAGAAGTATGAAGTCAAATCCATGAACATATTGAATGACAGCCTCAAAAGCGCACTTTTCATGATTCCGCTCATTGTTGATGGTTGTTTGTTACCTCGAAGGATCAAAGAACAAAAGGTCATCCGGAACATGACTTGTGCATCCATCATCTCTACACCTCTGATTGAGGCGGAAATTTTTTGAAAAAATCGAAAATATATTTCTACATTACTTGGTAGCTTTGAGTAGCTGTAACACAAGTTTTGATGGAGAAAAATGAGAATTATTACAATTGGAATATTCTGGTGAAATGCAGCTTTTTTGAAAGGATTATGACACGGAAAAATATATGTGGATGCTCCTTTGGCAAGAAAAACATACACAGAATACAGGAAAACATACCAGTCATCAATGGTGATCCAGAATGTAGCATTTTTCAAGAATTTTCAATCATAAAACATATCTGAGCTATATTTAGATTTGTAACAAATCACCAACATTCTGGATCCCCAGAAAAACATATTTGGATGGTCTTTAGGCAAAAAAAAACATCCACAGAATACAGGAAAACATACCAGTCATCAATGCTGATCCAGGAGGTGAGATTTTTGAACCATAAAACATATCTGAGCTATATTTATATTTGTAATAAATTACAAACATTCTGGATCTCAGGAAAAAACATATCTGGATGCTCTTTAGGTAGACAAAACATACAGAAAACATATCAGTGATCCAGAATATACCGTTTCTGAGAATTTTTAATCATAAAACACATGTGAGCTATATTTAGATTTGTAATAAATGACAAACATATCAGGCTAAAAATAGATGCTGTAGAGCGATATTATAAGCATAAAACCTATTCTAAGGGTATATTTTATTATAGGTGCAATGGTTTTTATTTTTGAAAGGCTTTTTTTCAAATATCCCAATGTTCCACAGCCTATGGCATTTTGGGCCACTGGCCAAATGCACACCCTATGGAAATGAATAAGGTGGAACATCCCAGGTCAATTTGGTCTAAAACTACAGCCTGGGCTGTCCAAGTCCAACAATTCAGTCGAAGGTGGTGGGCGTGGTGTTGTCCTCTCTTGAGTGTAGATGAAGACAGGAGCCGGGCCGAAAACGAAGGCATCGCCTGGCCGAGTTGGCAGAATGGCAGCTCCTCCTTGGCCCTGGAGTCGTAATTTGGCCTCTTGTGATTTCGTCAGATACTTCCATGATCCCAGAGTACTATTGGACCTTGAGGCGCCGGGGGAAGACATGCCTGGTTTGTCAGAGGCAGGAGCTGGAGCAGATGTGCCAGGTGTTTGAAAATCAATGGAAGGCTGAACAGCCGAGGCCAGGGTAAATGAACGATGGACTTGAAAATCGAAAGGGGATCCTTTATTAGCCAAGGCTGGTGCAGGGTTGTTAGGCTTTTGGAAATCGAAAATGGATGGCTGACGAGCTGAGGACGGGGGAACAGGCGGCACATTCATTGAAGTGCCCACTTGCTGAAAATTAAAAATTGATGCCTGACAAGCCGAGGCTGGTGGAGATCTGTCAGGCTTCTGGAAATCGAAAATCGATGGCTGATGAGCTGAGGCCCGAGGACGGGGAAACAGGCGGCACATTCGTTGAAGTGCCCACGTGCTGAAAATCGAACATTGATGCCTGATGAGCCGAGGTCAGGGCAAAAGCTGAAGTACCGACTTTCTTAAACTCAAAAATGGATTGGTGAGCCGAGGCTGGGGTGAATGGGTTGGAACTTATAGCAGGGGTAGGTTCTTTGAAATCAAAAATGGATCTGTGAGGAGCCGAGGATGGGACATCCACTTCCATCACTAGTTCGGATTCTTGGCTCTGTCCTATCGGCCACCCAGAATTTAGGTTTGGCTAGTTTTCTGTCACTGACTGGAACTCACCACTTGGTTGAAGAGGGGGTAGAGCCTTGGCCGTTCCTAAGATATGGTTAGAACTGCTCAGCCAACAAGAGTACATAAAACTTACCATCCTTCATTTCTTGGTCTTTCATCACAGCTTCTGTTTATCTACATTAAGTAGACAATCCTTGGTGTGGAGTAGGGACAATACCTGGATTTGTTAAAGACATATCAGTCAGAGAGTAGATAGCTTTTCCTGGGATTGCACTGTGTGGTTGGTGATGAAGACGCATTGTTTTTCAACGGTGGGAAAGCAAGCCACTGCAGATCGGCCATGGAACATTCTGCGGATCTCGGTTGAACATTGTACGGATCTCGGTTGAAGTAACGCCACCACGTGACCGCGTTTACAACTTTGTAATTTCACATTCACCATTGTCCCATTCCGACGCGCACATTCACCACCCTTGATCGTCCCATTCCCACTTACCATGTCCACTGCTGAACTTGCTCAAGCTGCTCAACAGGCCCATACCCTCACTCCCGGGTTCTTGGAGGATGTTAGGGTGGCCACCTCCACACTTTTGAACTTTTACAACCGTCACAGGGAAGGTCTTCTGGCCCACCAACAGACGGTGGAAGAGGATGCATATGGGAAAGCTGTGAGTGACTAACAATGATTTATTGACTGAAATTGGATCTCTTTCTCCTACAGGAACGATTTGTACGTTTGCTCATCAACAAGAATATGTGGTATAACACAGCCCAGTGGCTCAACCACCCTTGGATTTTGGCGTACACGGAAATGGCCCAAGCCGGACCATCGGTTGATTGGACCAAAATGTTCTCGATCCCACAACCCACCACCCCTACCTTCTTTATGGAAGGTTATGCCGGTCCCTCTCCCCCTTTACCTCCATCTTCGACTGATTCATTGCTCCCAGTCACAGTCCCAACTCCCCCATTGCCGGTACCGACAGCTTCATCATCGCTCCCAGCCCCAACAAAACCAACATGTCGGGCAAAATCAACCGATCCTGTGCCAGCGGCTGAAACGAAGTCCAAGAGTAAGACAAAGTCTGGACGAAGGAAACCCAAGGCCAGGTCCAGCGCCCAGCCACAATCAGAGGTGACTCCTAACGACACCGCTGCCCCAGTCCAAAGCAAAAAAAGAAAAGGGGACTTGATCGAAGCCAGGCCAAAGAAGACCAGAGTTGTGAGCGCGGAGTTCATCAACAGCAGCAGTGATGAGGAAACATTGAAGCCGAAGTCGGAGTCACTTCAACCAGTTGGTGGGGAAGCAAAGGCGGTTAAACCTAAGTCCCAGCCCCATTTCTCCCGCATGACACCCAGTGCCGGCCTCAGTCTCATCCGAAGGCCCAAGTTAGACCCCGACGCCAGTCCTCCCAAGACCGCCATGGCTGCTTTAAGGCAAGCCAAAACTGCCAAACGTCTTGCAAATCAGAATGCCGCAATTGCGAAAGGCAATTATCAGCTTGCGGATATCCCCTGTGAGGCCTGCAGCAAACGCCAAGATCGAGACATTGTTCCATGCGCTATCCGTTCCCCCCCACAACAAGGATCCTGCTTCACCTGCAGTATGGGTAAGACAACCTGCACATATGCAGTAACCAAGAAAAAGGACACTGACAGTAAGGTCGAAGACGAGATCCAAAAGGGGTTGCAGGATCTTGAAACAGCCACAGTCTCTGGGGGAGATGCCCAAGTGAAGATTGTGAGGAAGAAAGCGAGGTCAAAGAAGCCGCAGGTGAAGAAGGTGAAGCCGGATGTCAAAGAGAAGGGCAAGCAGGATGTCGAAATGGCTGCAGTCGGGCATGATGCGGAGCATGCCATTGACGTGGACATGGAGGTTGGTCTGACAATGGGAAAGGGGAAGTCCGAGGGTGGTATCGACATAGAGATGGCCGAAGTCAAACATGAGGAAACCGAGGTCGGTGCCATTCCAAAAGCTGACAAAGACGTGGGCCAGGTGACTCCCACCATAATCATTGAGCCACCCACACCACACACATCGGCAATTTTCAAGAGCACTGAGACTGAGGTCGGTACCAACACTGACAAAGGAAAGGGCCGGGAGATTGGGCCGCCAGCCAGTGAGATGGAGTGGATTGTGCCCGAGTTAGCAATGCAGCCGGGTAAAAAATTCATGAAACTCGTTATTCTTTGCTGACTTCGTTTATAGAATTGGGCTTGGCTGTCAATTATATCCAACAAAGCTTTACACCCCCACCTGTTGAGCGCACGTCCCGGCCAGAAGGTTCGCGTTCGGTATCCCGTTCTCGGCAGGTCAGCCCACCAGATCCCAAGGAGGTTCATCGTAAGTTTCAAGTTGTTTTCTCATTTCCCATGATTCTCAACTTGAAAACTTAGTTGACACGGCGCTCTATCAGAAGAAGATTGACTTTAGGTCCTTGAGCCCCCCACCGAACTTCGACATGCAGACGATGCAGCAGGAGATCAGAAGACTTGCTCATGGCCAAGCCGACCTCCTGCAGAAACTCCGAGACCAACAAGCGCAAGTCAGCGTCATGGAGTCGTCTACCCCTACTATGCGAGAGTATTCAGCATTTGTGGTCCGAAAACAAGATATTGACGCAAGTGCCCTTCTCCCCCCAGCGGTTGACTCACCCGTGACCCTGTCACAACGTCTTTTGGCACTCGAAGTGATTACCCGGTGTATTCAAGATCAAGATTTGGCTAGCCGTCCTCTGTCGGAGAAAATTGCAAGTCTAGAGACCTCCGTTTGGTTTCAGGAAGAAAAAATCACCGGAGCGACTCGCCGGATGGACCGTATTGAAGAGTCTGCCCACAGGCGTTGGAAGGAAACACAAGAAGATTTGCAGTCCATCCGAAGTGATCACCAGAGACTGGAAGCCGAGGTGAGGGAAGCCGTCAAGACACTGGAGAACAAGTGGGAGACTACGCCAGCTGCGTTACAAGAGAGTCTCAGCCGGGGCTTTGAGAAACTTGCAAGCCGCATCGAAACTGCCGAGCTAACACTCCACGACCTCACCAAATCAGTCACTACTATTTCGGAGCTCAACCTGCGGCTCGGTGCTCGCCAATCAAGTCTGGAATCGCTCATTATCCAGTTCCTTGGCAACAAGGAGAAGAAGCACACTGGCATCAATACCGATTGCTCAGTCTCACCCGACCGCGGTCAGAAAAGCCAGCAGGTACAAGTCTCCCCGACCCCGGGTGTTGTTCTGCCAAACCCAGTTTCAACCGATCACGCACAAGTCTCTCCAACCCCGGCCGTCTTTCTGCCTCCAGCATCTGAGAGCCCAGCGGTCCTTCTGTTGGCGCCAAACCCAATTCCTCCAACCCGGGCAAGTTCGCCCGGTCCTTACATTGGGGGTAATAGGAAGTCACCTTGGCTACAGAAACTCGAACCCACACTTCAAACCCCTGCACAGAGTAAGTCTTCTACTTGGTGAGGATTCAAAAATCTGACTGCCAGCAAGTTACAAACAATGATGTCCAAACTGTCCAAACTCCATCTACTTAATAGTTAGTAGCATACATGTATATTTTTTGGACAATCTTCAATTTTTTTTTGGGCATATTTAATATGAAGTCCTGTGGTGGACATAATAATGAAAGCAGTAAGGCCTCGGCTTCTTTCACAACCCAGTAAACTGTGACCGGCAGAGAAAAGCGGGGGGATCTTGGAGCAACTTTGTCCAATGGAGACCAGCATAGTAACAGCTTGGCGTTTATTTCAGGCAGCCGAGTGCGGTTGTTTGAGCCAGACCTGTTCCAACATGGGTATGTTTACAAGAAACATTGGTCGGTATAAACTTGGTAGGGATTTTGAACCGGGGGTGTGCATAATATATCTCACTGCCTTGTGAACGTCACCGTGCTCGGCTTCTTGGGAAGTCATGGACCCAGTAAACTGCATGACTGAATACTGGACCATGACCGGCAAAGAAAAGCTGAGGTAATGTTTGAGCAACTTGGCAAATAAAACCTGAGTGAAAACGAAACTCGGCCATATAGTGTCAACTGGATGGGACCAGGTTGGGCTGATCCACACTGCATGGGATTCAAAGCTCTTCAGCAGACCCATGACACATGAGCCCATTCCATGAAGAGACGGGTTGACCCAGGATCCAAGGCATATTTAATTCATGGGGTACTAGCTGACTGACCATGTCACCGTGCTTGGCTTCTTGGTAGGTGGTGGACCCGACCCAGTAAACTGCATGATGACCGGCAATGAAAAGCCGAGGTAAACTTGGCAAATAAAAATGAGACGGCTGTGGGCTGATCCACAATGCATGGGATTTAGAGCGATTCAGCTGACCCATGACACATGTTGAGCCCAATCCATGAAGAGATCGGTTGACCCAGGATCCAAGGCATTTTTAGCTATGTCAATTCATGGGGTACACTTCTCAGCCGATGCACAGTACCAGTCCTAAGAGAGTCTTGATGGCCGGTCCACCTTTGATGGGGTCAACTGATCCATGGGCTCATCAGCAGGCACCATCAACTATGGTCTGTTTGTATGGTCGGGGGGCTCAGTATTAGTGGGGTAAGGTAACTAATACTTGTGTCCAGGAAACCTTCCACTTCTGGCATGAACCAACCCACAGCCTCCCTACAGCAGACTCCAGCCGAACCATCTGAATTGGCTCTTGCCTTCAGAGAAGATCTGATCAATCTCCAGGCTGCTATCCATAAGGAAGTTGTGGAGGACGATACTCAATCTTCCTCCTTGAGCCATACTGAAGGAAGAAGAGGACGATATGCTGCTCCTACCGAGCGCGAAGAGTCCGAAACCCAGACAATCTTCTGGGATATAGACACTGCCCAGAACATACCCATTTGGGCTGAGTCTATCATCAAGTTGACTGAATGTATGTTCAGCAAATTCGACCAATCCATCGATGAAGATGTCCTTGTATCTCTAGGCACGATAGACGGAATCATGCCGGGCAGTATGAAGGACGAAAGTGACCGTCTGAGGTGTGCTATCAAGCTAATCTACAACACTCCTAGGGATCTTCGTTGGAGTAACTTAGGCTTGGCCGTTCGGAAATTTGCTGAATACGATATCAGCAAGAAAGACCTAGTAAGGCATACTGGGCAAAGTGTCACTCATGGAGTCGAATGTACTCTGTTGTTAGAAGCCTC